CTATTTAAAAGGAACGGGTCAGTAGCGGAGGAACCACCGAACCTTGGAAATGAAAGTTGGGCGTGGTGGTCTCCGGGCGGGCGTTGTCTTGGTCGCAACCCCTCGCATACTTTTGAGCTGCGAAAGCAGTACATCCTCCATACTTGCCTACAGGGTTGCCACGTCCAGAGAAGGTGTATGAAGGGAAAAGGAGGGCGTTGAGTGCGCTCATAGAGAAGAAAAAATGACCATGCATATGGGGCGAAACGCCTAGCAGAAAGGGGACCGCCTACGTAGGCAATGTGTGAAGTCCTTCACCCTGTTGGGCTTTGTTGAGAGGATCAACGAGACTTAGAAGCAGAGCCCGTTTTCATTTGATCTTCCCTCGCTTTTTCTGAATATTGTAACGATCGCTACAAAGGATGGAGGGTGTGCTTTCTTCAGGCTCAACGAGAGTAAAGCGCCGCCCTCTCGTGAAGAAACGGCCGCCCCGCCCACTGAATGGCAGCGCCCAGCGTGCATTTTTACCTGTTACCTGGTGGTGCGGTTGTTTCGCTACTAATTCTCCACTTCGAATGGTGAGAGTGATGTGATAAGAAAACACAGCTAATACCAACAAAAGAGAATTTTTCCGACCCCTCTCTCTTATGCGCTCACAACCTCACCTAGGCGGGTGGTGGTGCATGTAGAGCATTTCCCATTTTTTTCCTGCTTTTTTCACTACTAAATCAGTTGCTATCTTGTTTACGAGCCACATAAGTTACCATTCTCAAAGGGAGGCTCTGTCCTCAAGTAGTCAGGCAGACTGATCCCTCCTCACCCTAGAAAAGTGTCTCGAAGCATCAGCCTTCTGACACTCATATCGCTTCATTTACCCCCTCATATCGCTTCATTTACCCCTCTATATATTAGTCGCTGCGTATATTTGTTTATTTGTTCGTTGTCAGAACTCCAGTTCCAGAGCCATTTGGTAAGGTCGGGTTGGGGCTGGGATGGGGACCAACTATTGCGTAAATCCAAATGACTTTTCATCTAAGTGACGAAAGACAAGTCAGAAGCTCCTCAGCAGTCGTGACCTGCAAGCAGATCTCTCCTGAACGAAGTCCATCTGCTTTCTCCCTCTCGTTTTCCGACCGGGCGTCGAGTATCGCCCCCGACAGCACATCCCACTTTCTCAGACCGTTGAGTCAAAAAGTCAAGATAAAAGGATTCAACGCAAAAGTGAAGTTGTGTTTGTAATATTATAACCATTTACAATTTTCAGGAAAAATAATGATTAATACAAAACCAAACTGTCTTCTGGTTTGCTCTCTCATTCCTTCATCTTTACATAGTACCGAACGGCACACCAATTTTCGTACCACTTCCTGCCTCAGCAAGTATAAATGGGCACCGAAGGCC